AGGCCAAGAATATTGAAAAGTGGGATTGTTTTCGTCTCCACGACGAATTCTCTACCAAGGACGAAAACAATGCTTCCAAGCCCGAAAAAGGGCATAATGCCTAACATGTTCCAAATCCAGGTGTATACCTTGTCCAGTGAGGATACGTAATAGAATCGTTTGGTAGTAGTGTCCCACATAATTGGGGCTGTCTCGACCTGCTTTTGGAAATAGGTTGTGTAAATTCCAAGCGCTTTGACAAGTTCGGGAGACGGCATGTTGAAAGTTTGTGTTTTCCAAAATTTCAGACAGCCTACTTCTTTAGCAAGAAGTAGGCTGACGCTCGAGTGACATCGAAAAAGTTTTCCTTGTAACTATCGGTTAAAAATATGCATTGTTATAATACCTGAAAAATTTGAGTGTGCTAAAGTTAGATTACACTCTTAAAACTCCTATAACTACAGTAATTGGATATTTTAGTATTTTGAACGCTTATATTAACACGAAAATATGTAATAAATTCAATACACATACTCTTAAAACTCTGGTAACTACGTATTACCGGCCTGAGTATATGTGTGACTCTACCGCAACAGTGACAGTAATAAAAAAAATTGTTACCAAAGTGGTATTATTTTCGCGGTGTGATTTATTACCAGTGTGGTAGTAAATTTACTACCAGCCAAAAACAAATTTCTTAACTTTGCACTAGAGTCATTCATACAGATACTCCAGTGGGTAATGCGTAGTTACCGGAGCTTTATGAGTGTATGTATTAAATTTATTAAATACTCATTTTCGTGTTTGGCTATGCGTTCAAAATACTAAAATATCAAATTACTGAAATGTCGCGGTAAATAAATTATATAATATTTACATCTTAAGCGCCCAGTATATTATAAAAATATTTTTTTAGAAATAACGTTAGGTTGACCTTTTGTCTGGTATACACGAATAAAAAAATTCTCTGCAGGGTTTGCAAAAACCCAGGGTTTTAATCAAAACTATTAAAACCCATGGGTTTTAATTGGTTTTACCATGTTAATTGGGTTTTAATGGGTTTTAATGGGTTTTAATGGGTTTTATTAGGTTTCAGGTAATAATTTAACAAAAATAATTTGGAATTATTATAAATTCAATTCCAATCATACACAAATATGATTGGAATTTGTATCGATTCCGAAATTATATTGTGTTTATAAAACTTGAAATCTGTGATACTTAAGGTTGGAGCCCATTGTTGATTTGTTCCGAATTTTCATAAATTTCAGTAGGAATGTCGACATATTTTGAAATTTTTGAATTTTCAGAATTTTCAATTTCGGAAGGATTATTTATTTTAACAAATTAAAGTACTGAAATCCTGAATAAATGTGAATGTATTATTTTCGTCCGTACGCGACAGAGGATTTATTAATTTTTAACACATGTGGTGTTATCATATAAACAGAGCTATTGATGAGGCAAACTAAAAATACGTAAGGCTCACCTGACGTTACATATCGACGAAATGTATAAATAATAATTTGGCGATTTATTTAGTATTATATATGTATATGTGCAAGTATGACTAATAAATTATTCACATATTTAGCCCATAGATTTTGTATTTCATAATTAAATCTTTCTAAATTTCTTTGGCAAAATGATTCTTGAGCGAATATTGGTATGTGTGCATCCATAAATAATCATACATATACGATTAGAATAGAGAATTTATGTAATTTAATAAATAAATATACATATTTTATGCTAACCCACCAAACCTTGTATTCAGCGCCCCTGGCGGAATAGCTAACGATAAATTGATCGTATTATCCAAAATTTTCACGTAAAATGCCGCCTTTGTCGATCTCTCTATTGTGAAGAATCTAACCTCATGAATCCCCACCTGAAGACCTGCTGGCTTCAAGGTTTTCAACTTTTTTCTCAAATATGCTTTCTTCCTCGTATCCCATTCCCCCATCACAGCTATTTTCCACTTTTCAATGACACCCTTCGATCTATCGTTCACAATCTGAGCTTGCGGCAGCAAGACTGAAATCGTCAAAACCACCATGACTGAGGCGGACGGAAAGTAAACGTAAAACCAGAATGGTAAAACGTCCATTAATTGAATACTTCCTACGTTGATTAGAACACCGGCAAACAGTCCAAATCCGAATAATGCTGTTGTGCACGACTCCTGAAATTTCGACATGAGCCGAATATGCAAATCCAATTGGTAAACAATGCTAATTAATTTACTCATTTCTACGGCATTTCTGGAAACGCTAATTGCTAACAGGTGCGTGCAATTTTTCCCACCGGTGTACAACGCAGCGGCAAACATGACCAGGACAAGAGACGTGTGACGAAGTGCCTCAACGACGCTAGTAAATATGAGGAGTGCTCGGATAATTGTTGTTCCAAAGGTGAAAAACTGTAATGCGAAGGGATCCTTGATGTATGATCCGGCCAAGGAGAAAATTATGTAGAAGGGGTCCAATTTTGTGATTAAGCCGACCACCGGGAAAACGAACATATAAAATGGGAGAATTTTCATCATGATTGTTAGTCCTTTGCCGAAATAGTCCTGTTCCTGGGGTATGTTTCGATGAGATTGTTGAGCTAGGAGAGTCAAGTGTTTCATAAATATTAATTTTTGCAAAGTTTTCTTTAGGTACCCGAGCAGCACGACTAACAATAAGACATGAATCGGTATAACTTGACACGAGATCATTTACTGTTTAATTATCGAACTAGGGAAACATGTGATGGTGAAGATGAACAAGCACTTCCCACCGCAAATGTTGGCTATTACGAACTAAACTGGGATTCAAAATTTCAGTTTAGCCAATTGGCATATACATAACAAACTTGGGTGTGATAAATAAATACTTGTTCTCTGAAATAATGACAAAAGCTGATGCAAATTGGAAGCTAATTAGCGAATCAGTTCTGGTCACGTAGCAATGTTTTTATTATTTAGTTACATACATACCTCTCATATCAGACAACTGATCCTCCATCTGATGCAACTCGTTCCATCCGTATGCAAAATCCTTGCCATAAAACACTAACGCAATTGCAATACCGACCACGGCCACGCCCATTATTCCCATTAATGCAAGGCCAATAATATTGAAAAGTGGGAGTGTTTTCCTGTCCACGATGATATCTCTGCCAAGAACGAAAACTATGCTTCCTAGTCCGATAAACGTCGTAATAACGGACATGTTCCAAATCCAGTCGAATAATTTGTCTAGCGACGATACGTAATAGAATCGTCTGGTAGTAGTGTCCCACATAATTGGGGCTGTTTCGAGATGCTTCTGGAAATATTTTGAATAAATGTCAAGCGCTTTGACAAGTTCAGGGGATGGCATGTCGGATGAATTTAGTTTTTCAGTGATTTCAGTCAGATTAATTTCTTCAAATTTCTGGCGGATTTAGAATTTCGTCATACAAGTGGAAAGGGACAACTGCTTTCAGTCTTATATGTAGCCTTCGGTTAAAACGCTTATAGTACTTGCTACTACGCAAATAATTTTTTTTGCACCAAGGTTATGTTACAGTTATACATAAATGACTCAATTTATTGCGTATTTTCTGGTTGATACATATAAATGTTCAATATACTGAAATACCGAATTATTGAAATGTCAAGGTAAAAATTGTTTAGGTATACAAAACGCCCAGATGTATACATACGTAGATAAAATCAAGCATGCATGTGCTTCTCTCTCTAATATATTTGTATAAATTAGGGACTCCCAAGTTTGAATAAAAAATCGTTTTTTTTTTTATTTTTTTTGCTTTTTTCCTATAGCTTATACATGAGAAAAAAGCGAAAAAATCAAAAAAAGCGATTTTTTATTCAAACTTGGGAGTCCCTATTAGGGACCTATAAAATTGGGAAATTCATACCGTCTTAAATTATACTCGGCCTTGACATAATAATAATACATCCTATGAATATGTTGAGAAACCATATAATTAAACATACTTAGCAATATTTATCAAATTTCTGGAATTCTCCAGTTTTATCCATGACGCACAAAGTATGATGAAATGTTTGTCGGTTAGATTTTCCCCAATTTTTTATATGTTGTAGATCTTCGGCAGTTAGTAGAATAACTTCATGTAATTTTTTAAATACAGATGTTTTATAAAGCAGAGTCTCTTAAAAATATATTTTCGTAAGTATTCGGATCAAACTATTTACCACCGATCAACCGATCATTTGCGTTAATTAACATAGAAATATGATGCGTACTTAAATACATATATATTTTAACTGGAAAAATGTATCCAGAATTCAAGTATACATAACCATGCAAACATCATTAATTGACCAAGAATAATTTTGCATGTGCTAAAAACCATTAACCCTGAACTTGTGGAATCATTTGTTTGTCAAAGAGTTGCAGATGTCTTGTTACATTTAAGTTACTCATGTACGTGTATCTCAGGGTTTGATAAGTACATACGTTCGTTGTTTGTCCCAATTTGACATAAGTCCATTAAGTTAATGTAAAATACGTTTTCATATCTTAACCGACTATGTATGTGATTTGAAGTGAATGATATTCGTCGTTCGCAATTCGTTTAGAGTGACGATCACTCAATTAAATACATAAGTGGCTTTCACATTAATCAATTTTTATATGTATCTTGTAATTCTACTTACAGATGGGGGTCGTACATAGGGCATGCGCTTGACTTTAAAGCGAGGAGATCTATTTTAATGCATCTTATCTTTAGTTAATTTGGAAATGGAATACTACATAAATCTGTAATTATTGTAGTACATAATCTTACAAATCTAGCATATTTTTTCTGCACGGTCTCATAGGTTTTATGCAGGGATCAATTGGACGGATTAGATATTTAATTCTTGTACTACTAATCATCCATTAAAGCTGGATGCTTAATTTAACCTTAATCTTGATGTATGTATGGAAACAACAACGTTTACGTATACGTTTCAGATTCTGACTTTGCATTCATGGATGTATAAATAACTATTGTATGAGAAAATACGTACACATTTGCTACAGCAGTTTCTTAAGTGTAACACAAATTTATTCGTGCAACATAATTTCACGGAAATTTCACTACAATAATTTTAGCTGTTATTTACCATGGGTCAGTTTGAGGAAATCACTGCTGAGCATGAAAACTCGTTTGAAGTTGTCTTAAAGAAAAAGTTACCTTTAACTGGACAGGTGAGCTGTGTTTCATAAAGTTTATATTGCATAAATACTGAAGCAGTTAACGTAGTCGTTGGTAACATTGTAAAAGCCGCAAATCCTGTAATGCAAGTAGTTTCCTAACCTTGTATATTTTTACATAATTTTACACATATCTTTAAACAAAATTAGCTCACAATTTTTATTCAATATACTCAGGTCAACGGCGTTTTTTACGTGCAAAAGTTTGTCAAATTATTTTACACAACTTACGTGCAGATTTTAAAACAGGACGACAGGAATGACCTCAGTAAAATTAAGGTTTATGAAACGATTCTAATTTTGTATACTGTTTCAGCTACTAAACGTTTGGCGATTAAAGCGACAACGGAAGTTTACTGTGGCAAATTCCGTGCAATTTTACATTTATTCGGAGGACAAAGTACCCTTAGAGGGAAGCCTTCAAGATCTTTTCGTCCTTTGTGTGCAAGAACCAAACGTATGTGGATTCATCGTATTTATTATTAAACTCAGGTGAAATTAATAAGTGTTACATTTTTGTAATTGTTTCATAATTCTAGATGCACGGTCTTTATTCGGTAATTATTCACGCTCCTGTTTCACCAACGCATGAGATGATTACAGCTTTTGAGGGTTTCGTTGACTGGGATAGAAATCCACTCTTCCCCGCCGCACCAGGACCATTTACCGACAAGTTTTTAAGATCAATTTGCCTTAAAAGGGGTGGAATGCCTCCAAAAGAGCATCCATGCGAAGCTTATGCTCTCGAAGTGGATAAGGCGATGAGTGGACAATGCGGTGAGAGATAAATCAATTAATAATTGAGTAAGATGACAAAACTTATTGTCACTATAGTGATTCTTGTCATTTGGATAAGTATCCACCACAATTCTAAAATTTTAATTAAAGGTTTCTCAAAATTGTGAGATTTTTGGCGATAAGGGTTGCATAAGTAAACGGTGGGAATTGAAAGTGACCAACTTACTTGCAGAATACGATTATAAAGAAAACGGGGATCACGTTCGGGTTGCAGGTTTAACTTTGAAAGATGTCAATCAGGTCATGGCCACGGAGTTAACGAGAGTTTGGATGCATACCAAAATGAAGCAACAAGTAATCTTTTTGTCGCTTAAGAATTTAAATTAATGCAATTAATTGTTTAAATATTGAAATGATACTAACTTCTTTTATATTACTTACTGAAAGGGTAACTTTCATATTTACATTGTGCATAATGCAACATAATTATGTTACAGATGGAACTATCAATCAGTAATCTGGCCACTGCAGGTGTCTTCGTTAACGACGATTTGGCCGCTTTCGCCATGCTTTCACCAGCCGGTCTGATGAACAATGTTTGGACGGAGGAGCCCTTTCGGCGGAGAGGACTGGCTGTGAAAGTCCTGCAAACTTTGTCACATTCCGTGGCAGCGATGGGCTGCACGCCGATGGCGGAATGCACCGTGACGAACGACACGTCTAGACAGTTACTGAAAAAATTGGGATTCACCTTTGTTCAGGAGACGAACTGGGTCACATTCAAGAAAGCCTAAGATAATGCATAAATGGAATTGGTGTTTGATTTGACTTCTTGCAATGGCTAAAAAATAAAGTTGGACAAATCGATGCAAAAAGTTGAGATACATATTTACATATGTACGCAATTATTATTACAGATTGTATTCATAGTTATTACAGTTCATATCCACGTGTACCTTGATGAATAATATGTAGATCCCATAAATAAATGTTTTTTGGTCTAACAAATTTGAATACAAATAAATAAATAAATAAATAAATAAGCATTTGACTGTGTGACTCTTATTAATTAACCAAAAATTAACCAAAAATTCGGACAATAAGCTAATTGAAGTTGTATGGATAAAGAATGATAAGATAAGTATGTAAGTTATGACGCAAATGGCACCTATTATATCCAGCCTATGCCAGCTTTTCTACCTCAATTTACTAATTGATTCTCCAGGCACCTCATGTTAAAATTTACTTGAACTTCTGTGACGGGATAAATTTTAAATAAATACTTCTACTTTTAAAAAATGATCACCATTCTTCGAACCGAGTTTTATTTTTTGGTTGGGTTCTTTCTCTACGCTCATGGTAACAAATTATTTGTTGTTTTTCATTAATTATTTAACTAAGGAAATGTAAATTATTATTTGTATTCAAGTCAAACGACGCCATGCAAACGTCGCTTTGCAAAACATTTCCACAACTTTGCGGTGTTTAGTTTACGACATCGGTGTGGCGCACGGCTTACTGATAGATGTCTTTTTGTGTCACATGTTTCGCAAAAAAAATAAAGATTCTGATCGGTTGTCTCATCCCAATTTTTCGAAAATATCGCAAAGTTGTGACAAGACATGTTGAAGAGACGTTGAAGACTTTTAAAAAGTTGACGTGAATACCACCAAATATTAGCCCAGGGAATTAAATATTCCACTCTTAACAATATATTAATTTGTTGGTAGTTATTTATTTATAGGCCAACACATTTTAGTCCCAGACGTCCCCTATGGAACAGATCACGAACAGATCATGGACATTTACCTGCCTGCGTCAGAAAGTAGCGTGGTGTCCAAAGTGGTCGTGTTGGTACACGGTGGGGCTTGGTTTTCTGGAGAAAAAGCAGACATGCTGGAATTTATTCCGTTCCTTAAAAGAGATTTTCCTGACTACTGCATCGCCAATATGAATTACAGATTAGGTTTGTGGGGTATTAATTTAAGGGGTGGCACACTCTTAGAAATCCAGTATTAAAATAATACCAAGCGGTATTCATGTATGACGCTACCAAATGGTATTCATAAGTAATACCGTGTAGTAATAAATAGCTCGTCATTAAATTTTTACCAGACCGATAGCAAATTTGTACGGACCGGTATAATATTAATACCAGACGGTAGCAACTATAACACCGAGAAATCAATAAATAGATTTTTAAGAGCGTCTCTAACCCACAAGTCGAAAATGAAATGGACTAATTAATTTAAAAAATATATGCAAAATAGACAAAAATCTAAATTTATGCAAGGTGAACACGTTCATACTGATAATCGGAACCCTAATAAATTTCAACCCTAATTATAGGAACTCACGAAAGTCCCGGATTTCCCAAACAGGTCGACGACTTTGACCTCGCCTTGACCTATCTCCGTGGCACGTTCACGAACAACGTGACCTTTGCCTTGTTCGGGACCAGTGCGGGAGCCCATCTTTCAATGTTGTATTCTTACTCAAGGAACGTTAATGAGAATAACGACGTTAAGATTATCGTTTCTCACGTCGGACCCCCCGACCTAACGGACCCATCTTACGTGGGTAACCCTCTGTATAACGGGTTATTCTATAATCTCGTTGGTCCATGTTTGTACGCGGAATGTCCCGACCTTTATAACGCCACGAGCCCGATAATCTACGTGGACGAGAGGTCCCCAAAAACTATTGGATTCTATGGAGATTTTGACCTTCAAGTCCCCTCAACGCAGATGCCACTCTTAAGGAACAAACTGGACTTGTTCGGGGTCACCAATAAGTTTAAGGTGTACCAAGGTGGGCATGGGTGGAATTGGTCGGACCAAGATAAGGAAGATTTAAGGGTGGAGATTACTCAATTTTTTAATGATCATTGGTAAAAATTGGTAAACTGGTATATTTACAGAGCAGAATTTGACAATAATTATATTCGTTTGTATTTAAAAATTAACTTCGGTACTATGTATTACCGATAACCACGTAGGTAATTTTAATAAATTTATTTTACTAGTTACAACTAGAATTGATTTTGATTTCATATCCTTAAGTTGGGCGTTTTTAAATTATTTATTGTTAGCAAATAAAATGGTTATATTAAGACTAAATGTTCTTGTTCTCTTCGTTTCGCTTTGTGTACATACTGACAAGGACAAGGACATGTTTAAATGAATATTAGATATGCATGCATTTAGGTACGTGTTTTACTCCGCAAAGGGGAAATGTATGTATATGTAAGTGATAAATTTATTTATTATATTTGTATAAATAAATATGTACATGTTTTTGTCGATCGATCGTTTTGACAGCTTTAGAGTGTTGCTTTTGGGCACTAGTTAAATATTTCGAGTGTTTAGAGAATTTCTCATAGTTCACTTACAGATAATTTGGAATTGAAAGTTAATTTACTTTTAAGTATAACTTTATATTTAGTAAAAGTGTACGTACATTTATGAAATTATGTATCTTGCTTCTATTCGATATGAATGTTTAGATGAAAATAACACTTATGGAATATTTTATTTGATGAATTTCACACCGCATGGCGAAGTGTATATTAATTGAAAAATTTAGCTTTTCTGATTTGTACGTGTTGATATGGGTAACGATTACACAACCCGCTATCCGGGGCAACCCTACTACAAATAATATATTGTCAACGAATCAGCAGAGTAAAAACTGACACGTACTATCCTTTTACTTAGGCGTGTCACCTCATTTGCATAAATCTCACTATGCCCATTTTCGGCGATACGGGCTTTCCATGTTGAATAAACTCTATGTCTCTCGAGAATGCGTCAAAATATGCAAATGAGGTGACCGGCTATAATATTTCCACAGTATGTATGTCACTTTATTTACAATGGAGAGGTGTCAGGTGGTTATCGCCAATGTGGACCGGACTAATTTTAAATTGTTCAGGCCCAGACATAAGCCCACCCGTATTTTTTCGTTTTCTTGAATGGGCATATTTACGCCCGTGGCGGAATTTTCAAAAAAAATTTCAGCCAAAATCCTGATTTTTAAAAACGCTGTAACTTTTCGAATTTTAGCCCGATTTCAAAAATTGAATACAATTTGTGTTCAGAATTACTTCCCTGAAAATATAAAATTTCATTTTCAAAAATTTTTTTAATTTAATATTTTCATGCCATTTCTGAGCTTTTAGAAATGAAAAAAACGATAATTTTTTTAAAATTAAAAAATTTTTGAAAATGAAATTTTATATTTTCAGGGAAGTAATTCTGAACCCAAATTGTATTCAATTTTTGAAATCGGGCTAAAATTCGAAAAGTTACAGCGTTTTTAAAAATCAGGATTTTGGCTGAAATTTTTTTTGAAAATTCCGCCACGGGCGTAAACATGCCCATTCAGGAAAACGAAAAAATACGGGTCCACTTATTTTTGAGCGTCAACAATTTAAAATTAGTCCGGTGGTTATCGGCGATAACCACCTCACACCTCCTCATTGTTAGTAACCCTTAAAGACTGCATAATTACTAATTGTAAAATAAATCAATAAAAAATGGCAAATATCGCTAGATTTGTAGTTTATGAGTGTTAGTTTTCGTTCACAGCGTATTGCATTTACCACAAATTATATGTAGTTATATTTATTTAAATTATTTAATTTATCTCATAGATTTTATTATTTTTATAGGCTAGTTGCGATTTATAATATGCGAAACTTGTAATGAGGTAAGAATACATATCTAGTATTTACACTTGAATATAAGAGACTTGAACTTGATAGTTTAAAATATCTATGAGGGTGTGTTAACTACGAAAAATTACATGAGTGAAACTAACAATGGAGGTCTCCCAACGTATGCTCACAGATTTGGACGAACCTGGTGTCAATCCATCACAAATTTAATTAGTATGAAATTTGCAAATGCAACTATCTGCTAATACGCAGGTTTGGCGGAGATGTTTGCATAAAAAGAGGCAAAAGGAGGCAAATCTCTCCGCCAAACCTGCGTATTAGCAGATAGTTGCATTTGCCAATTTCATACTAATTAAAATTGTTGTCGATTGACACCAATTTCGTCCAAATCTGTGACAATATGTTGGGAAAGTATGTATGGTAAAATTGTAAAATTTCTCCATTGTAAGATGCCTTCTTTTTATCTTCCTGGTTCATTATAAAATGGGTAAAAATCAGCATTTAAGATAAATTTAAAAAAAACTAGTCAGTAAACAATTTCAAAATTCATACTTATTTTAAATGTAAATAATTTCTAAGATTCCAGGCTCTACACAATATAGCCGCCTATGTATGAATTTCTCCGTTACTCCAGTGTTCCCTCAACACACCAAATTATTCCTAAGTTGATCTAACACGTGACCCCTCAAATTTGGATACGTTGCAACAATCCGGCGCAAAAACTTGGTAGAACATTGCCACCATACCGTCTACAGGTCTTGTCCTCACCCTCAACCTTATAATTATAATTCAACCCTCTCAACCAAAACATTTCCACGGGTGGGAGCGGGATATCCAATTCACGCAGAGTTTCGCACCTCGCCCTATTTCCCCATGGGGTGAAAGAATTACATAAAAATTGTACCGTACGTTCGAAATACATTCCCTGTTGTTTCTCACTTTCTCCACGATTAGTGTGATTAACCGAGAGTGCGGCCAAGACTGGGAATTGTTTCGCATAATTAATCATAACATTATTGGCGAGATCCTCAGTTTCGAATTTTATGACTTTGATCCATCCACCGTTGCCAGAAAATGCAGACCGGTTGATTTTGAAAACTTGCAATCTTGGCATTATTGGAATGTCGAAAAATTCTTGTCCATCCGGTGCCGTCCTCCAATTTTCAATCTCGATGTCCAAGTGTTGCAAAAAAGGTGCGAAAATTTTTAACAAGCTGGTCCCGAAGGTTGGCGTCCAGGTGGCCATTCTAAACTCTAAGCGGCTGACTTGTCGCAGGATGGAGGATGAAAGTGATTGCGGCAGATCTTCGATTTGCTGATATCGATCTATGAAGGATAGGGCTGTCAACTTCGGAAATGGTGGGGCCTTTGTACGAAGCAAGAATTCAAATTCTTCCCGCCGTAGGCATGAAAACTGGAGGTGGGTCACGGCAGGGAATAGGCCCCCGATTTTAGCCAGGATTGCGAGATACATTGCAGAGCTTGTGATTTTGTTCGTGCGCAAGGAGAGATTCGTGATGGAGGGAAAATTCATACTTTCGTCGGGGTTGAAATCTGCCAAGATAGCGGATAAATTGTCTTGTCTTGTTGTATCCTAGGGTGGTTAAAAACACACACTTTACATATCATTTTGTCCCAAATTGTTTTTTTTTGCCATGTCATATGCAGGGTGGCTAAAATGTCTCGCTACAATGGAAAATTTTTCAGGGGGGAAACTTCGTATATTTATGTTGAGGCAATTCACGTTAACCTTCGTAGGTCCGTAACCAAGTAAACTTACGACGATCGGCTTACTAACTTAAAATTGCCTTAAAATTGTTTCATAAATATGCTGTATTAGGATCTATTTCTAATTATTTAAGAATTTCAATTGGTTGTAAATTTTACTAATGGAAGCATTATAATTTAGTATGTAATTAGTTCCCATTGAAAACTTCTCAGCAATAAACTTTGTTGAATAAAGACCGACATAAAATAAGGTATTAAGAACTAGACTTTGCAAATCGCTAATTTTAGGTGTGTATTGGGATCAATTGAGTCGATACTTTACTATATTATTGCCATTTTGTGATTAAACATGTGATAAATATTATTGCAAGTAGGTAAGTATCATATTGTACTCACACAAATATGTATAGCTTTTTCATAACACATTAAATCATTCAGCAGGCACATAATTATGGAGTTACACCTCAAATTATACACCACTTCCTACATATGTACATATATGTATGTATCTTTGCATACACTCCCATTCATTTAAAGCTGCACATTTGCATGAATAGCTACATAGATAAATACTCACGAGCAAAACCCTGTAGGTGTGAGAAAAAATAATAAATGTTTCATATGTAGGTGACGCATGCAAAACTCTGGCAAAACTAGTATGCGATACAGCATTTGCAAATATTACGTACGTAGTGATTACATGAAGATGTATATACTATGATTTTTATAGTGACGCATTTACTTAATTTTCACGAATCCTGTAAAATGCTTAATTATTAAAATCACACCGTGGGAATGTAAAGATAATTACGGATGGAATGGTGAATGTATGATTGGGGGTATTCACGAAAACTTGTGTTGAATAACGTCCATAAAAATTATTTGTGTCGTAAAAAGGATTATGCACATTTTTTATTACATAAAAATGCACGGTTAGAAATATGGTTTAGTCAGGTAGATAAAATTATTATTGGTATTAAAATTATACCGCTCTTGAAAAATTTGCTACCGATACGGTAAAACTTTAGTAACGAGCTGTTACTACACGATATAACTTGCTCATGCCACTTGGTAGAGTCATATATGAATAATGCTTGGTATTACGTTACCTATCTAATACTGGATTCCCAAGAATATGGTTGCGACTCCTGTGTACCCCTATTACTCTTTTGAAGTATGTACATACACATTTATGCAGCCATTTAATTGCACCCTATATTATTTAATTCCACCTTGATAATAAATATTACTGGACTACATAATGACCACTCCACCTTGGCTTTCCGCATCACAAGCACGTCATACTTCTCGTCCTGCTAGAATAAATTTTATCGTTCAAAATGGGAAACTCATCCCTGGTCTTAATCCTGTTACTTGTTACCGTGACCACTCTAATTTTAGAGGTGGGCTCCCAATCAACGACAACTTCGACTAAAACGATCACCTCGACGAGGACGAAAACTGTGACGAGACGTGTCACGTCCACGTTGCGATGTGGAAAAGGGATAAACAGCCTGGATTACGAATATCCAGACCAATTCCGGTCAATATTTTACCACCAAATTGTCCCCTCAAGACCTGTTCCGGCCTGGAATTTAGTTCCCGTCACGAAACGTCCGCGTGGAACTAGGGGAAGAAATAGGGACAGAGATATCAGTAGCGAAGAGGGTGATGAAAGTGAGGAAGAAAAACGACCAAATTTAAGGGTCCGTC